ATGAATCCAGGTTTGTCCGACAGGCTTGACAAAAGCCTAAGACTTTATTTCACCATATTTACGGTTGAGTAAATACAAGGACCCGCTCACAGTACTGAAAGATGATAACGGTGTTGAAATCGTTAAAAACAGCGAGAAAACCGAACACTTAGGACGCAACTTTGCCCTGGTTTTAACTTGGGAAATGGAGTTTCAGAGTCATAATGTTAGCAATACCTTTGAGACTGCTGGTCCCTCGCTTGAATTCATACTCTTCCCGGCCTCTGTCAAGGAAAGAGAGCTATATAATCTCAAAGAAACGAAGTCGCCGGTCCCGGACAGTACACCGACCAAGTTCTCGAAGGAAGTGACAGACGAACTCTCCAAACCACTAGCACACATCCTCCGTCCGTCATTCGAATTAGGGAGGCGCCATCCGAATGGCAGACAGCAAATATCTTTCCGGTATATAAGGATGGAGCTCGTACTGGTGTTAACAATTACCGGCGCGTCAGCCTCCTCTGCATCCACTGTAAAATAATGGAAGCCACAGTTACGAAAGCGACAATGAAGCCCTTGAAGCAGAACCACTTACTCCCAGGGCTGTAGCACGGCTCAAACAGAACCGCTCGTGTCTTTCCGCTTAATTGCTCTCGACCGAGCAGTGGACTCGCACACTGGACAAGGATGGAAGGGTCGTTGTCATCTGCACGGACTTCAAGAATGCGTTTGATAGCGTCCCACACAAGCGCCTAGTTTACAAGCTGACTAAAATTGGAATAAGGAAAAGCTGCTGACATGGATCGCAGACTTTCTTACAGGTAGATCATAAACAGTGTGTGCTAATGCTTCGAAGTCAACTCCTACCCGCGTTCTAAGTGATGTTCCCCAGGGCTCATTCTTAGGGCCGTTGTTATTCCTAGTTTACACTGACGACTGCGTCGGTGACCTGGGACGCAACGCCGTCATGCTTATTGACGATGTTAAGCTATAGAGAGCCATCAGATCTGATGCAGACAGGTACGCTCGTCAAGAGTGTCTAAACCATCTAAGCAGTTGGCCCACTCGTTGGCCCCTCAATTTTGATGTAGACAAATGTGTGGTCCCGAGACTCCGCGCCAGAAGGACCGGTAAGAAGGACGATTCCTTTCAATACCTCCTTTACGGGCAGGCCATTTCAAATGTTGAGGAACAGAAAGGCCTCGGCGTCCTAATGACCTCCTCCCTCAAACAATCGTTATAGAGTCAGAGGGCAGCCAAACACGCGATACGGACGTTATTTGAACTGAGGCGAGGATTTGTTCAGAACGATAAGGATTTGTTCGGAAAAACCTCAGCCCCACTTAGAGTATGCAGTCCAGGCCTGGCGACCGTGGTTCAAGAAGGATTATCGACAGCTGGACTATCAAGAATCTTAATCGTTTGCCTTACGAAACCAGACTGGCTGAACTAAGTCTATTTCCTCTTAATTACGGGCAACTGCGCGGTGATCTCATTTAAACCTGCCGGATTGTCAGAGGTCATCAGTGTGTCCTAGATTTTGAGGAATTCTTCAAATTGGATCGGAAGGACTGTCTGCTTGGTCATCCCTTTAAACTGCAGAGGAAGCTGGCCCATACGGTCGTCCGACGGAACTCCTTCTCGCAGAGTCATCAGGGCATGGAACAGACTCTCTGATGCGATGGTTTTTTCGATAATCTGTATTATAACCGCAACCAAGTAATCCGTCCTAGTCGAAAACGCATTTCAGAATTTCAGCCAATATTTCATTAGATCGGTCACTCACTGCATAATCACGATTGTGTTAGTGGCGGCAGTTTGCGCCTGGCTCACACCTACCGTCTTAAGGAGAATTTTCGCCAAGGTCTAGCAGCAACAGCGGCAGCAGCAGGATTTCATCAGCGGGGGCATACAGAATTCTAAGACCACTGCGGCAAGTAGGCCTGTGAGCTAATGGTAAGGCGTGGGACCAAACGTTCAATAACCGTCGAATCGGAGCTCTAATCCCATATGGGATCGGTATGGCTGGCTGAAGAAGGCCACTTGTCCAGAAATTTCCTTCCCAGTCTAAGACTTTCAATCTTGGATCGAACTTAGAGGAATTAGATATTTTTTAACTAGGATCTAGGCCACCCTGGGATATAATGCATCCCCCATGAAGAGTGTCCAGGGAAAATTTGAACGACACAGCTGGCTGTTAAGGGGGATTAAAGCCTCCGGAAATCTGGCAAATTGTCTTTTCACTCACTGTTGCCTATTTGCCTTACAACGCGCAATATTGTCGAAGCGTGACGAGCACGTCTAACCTTAGACATCAGTCGCCGTATTTAAGTGCACATACACTCAACCATTCCATCGTTATCGTTTTTTAGTTAACAGAACTACTTGTACTAGGCTTACGAAGAAGTTTAATTCCGGGGAGGAAAAGCTAGCCCCACAATGGACTTGCAGATTTCGGATAAAAACTTTAGTTTTGTAAGGCAGAAATTTCGGATCCTATCATGAGAATTTCACAGACCGTCCTTTTCACATTCCTTCTGAATATGAATAGAAACTCTGGGCAGTCTTTGTGATTTCTGGAAAGTAATTGCCCAGGATACCGCCGTGGTTAAATTTTTCCTAAGTTCAAGACTAACCTCTATGAGCTTACTGTTAGTCTTGAACTTCAACTTAAGTTTACACGCGGCCGAGGGTCGTATACTGTTTTAGTGTTGAGAGCACGTCACCCGATATTTAGCCTCAGTTGGCGGGGCTGCAAGAGTGGCCAACGCCAGTTTTCGATGGCTTTGAACAAATCCGCTCAAAGTATTTTCAAAATTATCTAAGAAATTAACGCTCAGAGACAAAAAGGTCGGATTTAATCCGAGAGTAGATATGAATGTCAGAGCTGGAATTCGTCAGCTTCAACGAAGCAACCGCAAAATCCTCAGAAGCTGCCAACAAAGAGTCAGCGGTATAAAGATGTTGAATGGTTCACCGAATTGACGGCATAAATGTTAGTAAAAAGCCCAGACAAGTCATTTTTATGCGACTACAACAGTGTATCGCAGACTTTTCACGGTAATCTCGATTTATCTACTTGATCCATGACAAAGACAACGGACCGCGCACTGGCTTGCTCCCTTAGTTAACATGAAACTGCGTCCCAGGTCTGTGTGAATAAGTTAAAAATTATTTCCCTATCAAAAGGGGTTGATTGACTAAACCGTTAATCATATAAATGACCTAATGAATTTTGCCTAATATTATTACTCCTTCAGGAAATTGTTTTAAGCATGTTTGTCGGGCTTTGCAGTGATCCTCATATTATATATATTTAAAAAGATCACATAACGTGGTGGTGGTGGTGTTGGGCGCGTTGCTGCATTTCAAATTCCCCTACATCCGTTGTCCGCGAAAAGCAACTGTCTGCCAAGAGTCGAGCAAATTGCGATGAGATATGATCTTGTAGCCTCAATTATACTTCTACCAAATCAACTCACACCAACCAGCTCTTATTCAGTCTCGTTTCACCCAATCCCTCCTTTACACGCATCGCACTACACACTCGCTTCTCGGGACTCCACAATTCACTGCCCTGAAGCCACGTACAACATAAATTGCCGCACACATACTCGCAACACACAGACGCATGTCATATCAATCTGGCCACAGACTCTCGCGATGTTTTATGCTTCGTATTCTCTCTGAAGTGGATCATGCCCCACAGGTACTGTAATACGACGGCATTTTAGAGCGATGAGTCGTTTCGCTGTTCTAGTAGTCCATGACATAGTCCACCAAATCTGCCCTGAGCCGATTGCTATGAATAAAATTTGCAAGATAAATTGGCTCATGTAAGTAATGGCAGTGGCTTCGATTCATCGAGAAGAGGCCGGGTCCAAGTCACACCTAACTTCGGAGGCTGTCTACCTATCACATCACAGCCCAACATAGACTGACACAGTATAATGGGTTTCGCATAACTATGCATGAAGTCCCAATATCATGATTAAATACTCGCCTTTCTAGGCATTTTCAGGTGATTTTACATCGCCTGCGATTGTGCCTGCGAAGGTAACAGACAATTCAAATAGTCGGCCTCCTAGGATTTTTCAAGTCACTTTGTTTCGCCTGTGAGGGTATCAGGCAAATGATACAATGGCAGTGGGAAATTCAAATTTCGTAAATCGATTTTGTACCAGACTACATGTCGATCGACGTTTGCGCGTTTGAATGTGGCCAAGCGGCTTGCGGTCAGAATTCACAGACTGGCAATGGCGAGCGCTACCTCGACTGCTTTGCTGAAATGCTCAAGACGCGGCACGCAGACGGCTGGCCAGATGGGATAAGAAGCACTCGCCTATGCTGTCTTCCAGCGGTAAGTGCTGCATCCGTTCATCGTTGTCGCACGACTAAATGCGCGTTGGACTGTACTCCGAGCGCGGTTAAGATAACGACTTGTGTTGGATAATACGTGTGCTCGCGTCTCTCAATCTGAGCAATATAGTAAAATTGAGGTTAGATAGAAAAAGATCCAGTAGACACTTGTAGTGTTTATTTGGTTGTCTAGCTTGAAATAATGTTAACTGTCTCAGACAATATGGACGCTGTCATACACCAACAATGTTTCTGCCTACTCGATTAGCCACATGATCCCGGCAATATACGCCAGGTTGCAAGTTGCGACTGCGTTGATTCCACAGAGTCGTTAGGACGACATGCATTCATGCCGATGTCCGAATATTGTCAGTCATTTTTCACGTTTCTGGGAGTCATCGATATCAGATCTTGCCAATGCAGGTCAAGGTGGGAAAATGTGAGGCGACTTGACTTGCATTATGACACCCCTTCAGGCTCTTCCTTCCATTCTTTCCAGGTTGCCAATAACCGGATACGTTAGAGCTCCTGTTGGGTGGCCAGGTGTCACAGCAAGGTGAGTCGCCTGGTTTCCCTGTAAGTCCTCAGGACAGATGATAATGATGATGTTGGCAAGTTAGGGCATTTTACATTCCATTGGCCGCTTAAAGCTCCTAATAAATATGCTTCCCGTTTGTATCGCCCAGGGCGGCCCGCATCTGCTGGTCGAGATGGTCAAGGCTCTGCGTATACGTGGCTTAAGGATGGAGGGCCATTGCCGAGTGCCAGGCCGCATCCCCAAGGTTCAAGAAATCACACCGCTGGCCGATTCCGTAAGTCACCTACCTCATTAATCCTATGCATGCAATGAAACATCCTGCAACAGATAATATTAAGCTGACTTACCCTTAGGTGTGTGTGTGTGCTAATATGCAGATTCGCACATGTTTGCAATTTTAGAATGTAAGTGAGCTGTGTGACCGTCTGGTGTGGGACGAGGAGGCTTTTGATGGTCGGGCAATATCGTCAGCCATCAAGCGCTACCTGGGCGCTCTGCCTGTCAGTCTTCTGAATGCCAACATGTTTGCCTTCGTTGTGGCGGCGGGGGCGGAGACGGGTAGTGCGACAGAGAGGGTTAGCCGGTCTCTGCGGACACCGGCAGGCCTGACAAGTGCATTATGCCAATTGCGAGTAGCCCTCGTGAAGGCCTTTGGCTGCCCTGTCAATGTCACAGCTGAGGACCGAGAGGGAGGTTGGTGCCTCGCTACGCTGGACTATGTCATGCGCCACCTCCGGGAGGTTGTGGCCCTTCAGGCCATCAACCGCATGTCCCCTCGTGCGCTGGCATTGTGCCTCGCACCCTGTCTCTTTGGCTCCCCAGAGTATGCCAGGCCGCGCCATGCCCGCGTAGTTGAGTACCTCTTTGATTGAACAGCACCCTGGTTTAATTCCTGCAGCCGATGCTTTTGACTGGAATGCAAAATATCTGTTTCAGTTTCAGTTTATATAATGGAAACATAGGTTTTGAAACATTGAACTTCCTATTTGTTACTAGGACGCTAATTATATCAAAAATTTAAAGATGGAAACGTCAAACAGCTACAGATGTTTTTTTTCAGATTGGCAAAGTTTTCGAAACTAGGCAGATAAGCTAATTGTTCCGAGTGTTAAAAACATTAACGTTACTAAATACGCTGTACAGTAGTCTGTCTATGAATGATTGGAGCTAGCTCAATTTCTGAGGGGGAAGAATTAAAGCCACATTGCAGTCCCCAGGGTAACAACTAGGTCGCAATCGGCAAAAACCTGAAGAACGATATCATGGATAAACTTTCTGCATAAATTGGATTGCAAATTAGAGCACAGTAAGTAAATAAACAAGTGTACTTACAAAAGTGAATGTCAGAATATATGAAGTCGAGATAATGGCAAGGAGGCTAAATATCCGTACGATTACAAATGGTTCATAGTCAATAAGTACAAGCTATGTTATGAATTGTAATTCAGAAAATCTATGCTGTGAGAAAGGCCCCATTGCATGTCAACAGCAAAAACATCATTCATTTAAGCATGACAGTAAAAAGAGCATCAACTTAAGTGCAAATTGATACGCAAGTTGTTGATTGAAAAGCCTACTCGCACAAGTAAATGTCAGAAAACATGAAACTGAAATAATGGCAAGGAAAGAGATGGGCGATAAGAGACTTACCGACAAGCATAGAGACAGGCGTCGGCTACCGGTTCACCTAGACCCTCTGCGGACATCAGCTGACGGCCCCGGTGCAGACACTCTGACAGCCAGGGACAGTGCTCAATTAGCAGCTCCAGCACCTATTGATGGTGGCAGACATGAAATAGCATAAGCATGAGGTAATGGCCACTAAGGGAAGAGGGGATTGCATGGAAAGACGTGAAAGAGGGCAGCAGCTGTTGTGTAGTGCATACCTGGCTGTTGGTCTCCGCATTCTCTGGGGAGCCAGGGCAGTCAAAAGCCTTCATCAGGGCTGTTCACAATTGGCATAATGCGCTCGCCAGACCTGCTGGTGTCCGCAGAGACCGGCCACATCTCCTCGTCGCCGTCCCATTCACCGTTGTCGCGACAAACGTGGCAAACATTTGGGCATTCCGTAGGATGACGGGCAGAACGCCCAAGTAGCGCTTGATGGCTGACGATATTGCCCGAACATCGAAAGCCTCCTCGTCCCACATCAGACGGTCACACAGCTCACTCACATTCCAAAATTGCAAACGTGTGCGAATGTGTATATTAACACACACCTAAGGGTAAGTTGCAGGATGTTTCACTGCATGCATAGTATTAGTGAGATAGGTGATGAGATTTGGCCAGCTGTAGGATTTCTTGAACCTTGGAGATGCGGCCTGGCACTCGATAAAGGCCCTCCATCCTAAAGCCACGTATGCGCAGAGCATTGGCCATCTCCACCAACAGCCATGGGGCACCCTGGTTAATGCAACAGGAAGAAGTTTAGTGGCAGGATTAAGCGGAACATGGAATGGAAAATGTCGTAACTGGTCCATATCAGCATCATCATGCTTCCAGAGGACTTACTGAGTGATCCGGCGACTCTGCCTGCTCCAACAACGAGCCAACGAACACGGGTCCCAAAGCGACCGATTGTGGGCAGCCTGCGGGAAACAGGGAAACGAAGAGCCCGATGACTGTTAATGCAGACGCAAGTCAGCATCATGTCACGTGTCGGTAACGCCCGGAAAGAAGGTAGGAAAGGAAGAGAGCCGGTTCGGACGACGAGCACTTTATTGGAAACTTGCGGACACGAGGGGGTTTCTCTAGTAAGAAAGGTGCGCTATTTATAGTGGCTCCCGTGAGTTCTAGAACATTCCGTCCAATGGCGTGTGCGCGATAGCCCCCCGGTGGTAACGTCTTGAATGTTCGACCAGCCATCGATTGGGCCGCGCACGTGCAAAGCCACCACACGTGCTCGACGCTGCAGTGCATGCCGGTCGGCCGTCTAACTTCACACGTGTCTCATGCCGCTGGCTTGGTCCCCTGTTCAGCGCCTTAGGCCGTGGCCCTACGCTGCTTGTACTCTCCATAACACGTGTTGTAAAATGTTTCACTGCATGTATAGGATAATGAGGTAAGTGAATTACAGAATTGGCCAGCTAATTGATTTCTTAAATCCAAGAGGCGCGATCTGACACACTGTAAATTCCCTCCATGCTTACGCCGCGTACACGCAGAGCCTTGACCATCTCGACCAGGAGACGCGGGACGCCCTGGGCGATATATACGGGAGGCATATTTATTAGGAGCTTTAAGCGGGCAATGGAATGAAAAATGCCCTAACTTGCCAACATCATCATTAGCATCCGTCCTGAGGACTTACGGGGAAAACAGGCGACTCACCTTGCTGTGACACCTGGCCACTCAACAGGAGCTCTAACGTATCCGATTACTAGCAGTCCGGAAAAAACGGAAGGGAGTGCCTGATGGCGTGTCGTAATGCAAGTCAAGTCGCCTCACATTTGCGCAACTTGCAACCTTCCGTATATGGCCTGAATCATGTGGCTAATCGAGTAGGCAGAAACATTGTTGGTGTCTGACAGCGTCCACATTGTCTGGGGCACTTAGCATGATTTCCTGCTCGGCAACCAAATAACCACTACAAGTGTCTACTGGATCATCTTCCATCTAGCCTCAATTTTACTATAGTGCTCAGACTCAGAGACGGGAGCCTGAGAACAGTGCAACACAAGACATTGTCTTAACCACGCTCGAATTCCAGTCCAACCTGCATTTAGTATTGCGACAACGATGAACGGATGCAGCACTTACCGCTGGAAGACAGCATAGGCGAGTGCTTCTTGTCCCATCTGGCCAGCCGTCTGAGTGCCGCGTCTTGAATAATTCAGCAAAGCAGTCGAGGTAGCGCTCGCCATTGCCAGTCTGTGAATTCTGACGCGCAAGCTGTTTTGTCACATTCAAACGCGCTAACATCGATCGACATGTAGTCTGGTACAAAATCGATTTACGAAATTTGAATTTCCCGCTGCCATTGTATCATTTGCCTGATACCCTCACAGGCGAAACACAGTGACTTGAAAAATCGATTTACGAAATTTGAATTTCCCGCTGCCATTTTATCATTTGCTTGATACCCTCACAGGCGAAACAAAGTGACTTGAAAAATCCTAGAAGGCCGAGAATTTGAATTGTCTGTTACCTTCGCAGGCACAATCGCAGGCGATGTAAAATCACCTGAAAATGCCTAGGAAGGCGAGAATTTAACCATGGTATTGGCACGTCATGCATAGTTATGTGAAACCCTTTATTTGAAGACGAAGACAGGCTCTCCGGAAAAGGTTTATTTAAGTGCTGACGTTTCAAAGAGCTGGGTCGGCTCTTCATTGTCAAAGCGTAAAATGCACTTAATCGATCAGAAATTTAATTTAAAGTGGCAGTTGTGTTGGCCGGCCTCATGCTGATCGATTTTTCCTCCTGTCGCCGCCTCGGCCTCTCGGGAGATGGTTGACGGGCGTTTTCCCTGTGTGCTTTGTGAGTCACTACTCCGTCGAGGGGAACTGATTGGACTTTAGTTGGGCGGTCGGTCTGGCGGTTCTTCTTCCTCACCGAGTAAACTCAGCGTCGGGCTATCTCCGTGCGGCCTTCTTAAGTCCAGTGTGGTTGTTTGGCCCTGAGCTCAACGATTGTGACGACGTAGGACTTTGTAAGCTGCAGGAAGGTCCAGATGCCTGTTGATAGAGTGGGCATCGGAGAACCACGCCTCGAGAGTTAGCCGTTCTGTTTTTGTGTTGCCTCGGCCTAAGATGGTAGCCCTCTGGAGGTCAAAAATATGCCCCGTTTCTCCAACGTGTGTAGCTAGTTGAGAGTTAGGGTCTAACCTCCGAGTGGCCGCTTTGTGTTCCTTTAGACGAGTTTGCAACTTCCACTCGGTTTCGCCCAAATAGTTGCCGTCGCCCTCATTGCAATTTATTTTGTAGATGACTGCTGAGGTTTCAGCGGGTGCAATGGGTCTTTAGGTTGCATCAGGCGACGTCGAATTGTTGCTTGTGGTCGATGGGCTATGCCTACTCTGGTGGAATGTAACAGGCGCGAGACCGCTTCAGAGACCCCTTTAACGTAAGGAATGGCCCTCCAGACTTCGGGTTGCTGCTCATTTGGCCGTTGTCTGGGCGCCCAACGTCTGCTTCTCTCGAGGAAATGCCTGGGATAACCATTGGCTGCAAATAGGTTCACAAGATATAATCGTTCAGCCCTTTGATCTTCTGGTGGGCTGTAGTGTGTTTCGACTCTTTGGAATAGAGTGCGGACACAACTACGTTTGTAAGACAGGATGCAGTCTGTTTTAATTAAATGTCTTTCGACTGTAGATTGCTAACACATCATATTCCCTGCTTTAAATACGTGACAGGCATAGAGGTGTAAGGGTTGTCGTTGCTAAGGAAAGAGATTGTCGCCGTAGGATAATTCCATATTTTTAAACAGGGCTGGATGAGTTGTGACTGAAGGAACTCTGACTAATATGAACTGCCGATACTAGACTGCCGGCAAATAGAATGAGCGAAGATGTACATAGGCGTCGCCAACTGGGTCGGACAGGTCTGTGTCCGCTAGTGTGATGGCAGGTACTTATAAATGGTTCACTGACAATCACGAAATTCATCGGTTAATCAAATAAAGGCATTAACTTCGCCCGGTCCTGGCGCACATACAAGCTGATCCATGACGATACAACCATGTATTTAGCACGGCGACAACAGACACCGCGGTATCTTTCCTTGACCGACAGGCAAAACCAGATGATGGAGTCTGGTCTCTGTGTATGCGCTTGCGTGTGCGGTCGGTATGAATGCGCGTCCGCCGCCACCAGCTCCATCACGCCGAATGCATTCTTCACACCCACCACGCCCAGCCTTAATCAGGCCTCGTCGCATTGCGCGCTCAACACCACCACCACCACCACCACCACCACCACCACCACCACCACCACCACCACCACCACCACCACCACCACCGTAGTCTAGTTCCTCTGAATTACGGGCAACTGCGCGGTGATCTCATTCAAACCTGCGCATTGTCAGAGGTCGTCAGGGTGCCCTAGACTTTGAGTAATTCTTCAAATTGACTGGGACAGACCATCTGTTTGGTCATCCCGTTAAACTCTCGAGGAAGCTGTCCCATACGGACGTCCGACAAACCGCCTTCTCGCAGAGGGTCATCGGCGCATGTAACGGACTCCCTGATGCGGCGGTTCTTTCTAAAACTGTGGAATAATTTAAGTGCAGACTAGATGTTTATACTTTGAGGAACTACAGTACATATAATCCCGATTATGTTAGTGGCGGCAGTTTGCGTCTGGCTGAGACCTACCACTAACTTTTTAGTATCCAGATTTACTGGTGTAGTGATTGATTCTATTGCTGTTTATAGACATAAAAACGAAGCTCAAGGGCAGAAACCTCATTTCCTTAACAAACTGACTTAAACCCTTTTAATCTGCGTTATGATTGATTAAATGGAAGCACAATACGTCCAGATCAGCGCTGTACAAATTACCCCGAATTTCTTTCTATACTACCCAGATATAAGAGTATTTTTTTGATATCTTGAAATTTCGGACTATTTTGACTTGAGATAGCATTGATTATTCTAGGAGGAGAATGATACTTAGGTTTGTAATAGAATATGCAAGTAACTTCTATTCAAAATGCGACTAAGTAATCTCTCAACGTTCATAGGTGAGTCGGTAGCAGCAGATATTCAATTACGGCATCGCTCTGTAGAAAAATCGAAAAAGAAGACCACCTTTCGTGATCTTTACGGCTTAAGGAGCATTTTCGCCAAGGTCTAACAGCAACAGCGCAGCAGCAGGATTTCTTCAGCAAACACATGAAGAATTCTAAGACCATTGTAGGAAGTGGGCCCGTGACTCAATGTTAAGACGTTGGACTAAGCGTTCAATAACCGAAGAATCCTAGCTCTAACCCCATATGGGATTGGAGCTCGGATCTAGATGACATACGTCATCCAAATTTGGGACCGGTATGGCCGGCTGGAGAAGGCTACTTGGCCAGAAATTTCCTTCCCAGTCTCCTGTGTCTTTGTCGGCACTCCACCGAAACCTAACACTTTCAACGTTGAATCGAATTATGAAGAATTAGCTATTTTTAAATAAGGATTTTGGTCACCCTGGGATATAATTCATCCCCTATGAAGAGTATCCAGGAAAAGTTTGAACAACACAGCTGGCTGTTAAGGGGAATTTAAGCCCTCCGGAAATCTGGCAAGTTGTCTTTTTACTTACTGTTGCCTACTTGGCATACAATGAGCTAAATTGTCGAAGCTTGACGAGCACTTTTACCATTAGATATATGTCGCCGCACTGGAGCGCAGGTGCACTTAATTGTTCCACCGCTATCGTTTTCTAGTTAGCAGAGCAAATTGTGCTAGGCTTACGGAAAAGTTCAATTCCAGGGAAGAACAGTTAGCACGAAAATGGACTTGCAGTTTTCGGAAATACCTGTAGTTTCGTAAGACAGAAATTTCTATTTCTATCATGAGATTTTCACAGACCGTCATTTTTACATTCCTTTTGAATAGGCATAGAAACCCTGGACATTATGTGTGATTTCTGGGAACTGAGTGCCCGGAATACCGCCGTAGTTGAATTTTCCCTGAACAACGTATGAAGTTACTGTTAGCCTTGAACCTCAGCTTAAGTGCCCACACGGCCGAGGGTCGTATACTGTTTTAGTGTTGAGAGCACATCACCCGACATTTAGCCTCAGCTAGCGAGGCTGCAAGTGAAGCCAACGCCAGTTTTCAACGGCTTTGAACAAATCCGTTAAATGTATTTTCAAAATTTTCTCAGAAATTAACGCTCAGAGACAAAAAAGTCGGATTTAATCCGATAGTTGATGTAAATGTTAGAGCTGGAATTCGTCGGCTTCAACGAAGCGACCAGAGAATCCTCGTAAGCAGCCAACAGATAGTCATCGGTAGAAAGATGTTGAATGGTTCATCGGACAAATGGCATAAATGTTAGTAAAAAGTCCAGACAACTAATTTTTATACGACTACAACAGTGTATCACAGACTTTTCACGGTAAGCTCGAGCTATCTACTTGATCCACGACAAAGGCAGCGGACCCCACACCGTTTTGCTCCCGTAGTTAAGATGAAACTGCGTCCCAGGTCTGTGTGAATGAGTTGAAAATTATATTCCTATCAATCGGGTTGACTGACTCAACCGTTAATCATTTAGCTGACCTCGTGAATTTTGCCTAATGTTATTACTAGTTCAGGAAATTATTTTAAGCATGTTAGTCGCCGTTTGAAATGATCCTCTTATTATATATATTTAAAAGGATAACAGAACGTCCCAACCTCCAATTCTTGCGTCGTGGAAACAACATCTGCATGTTGAGTGGAAACTGATCATATCTTTCCTCCTCTCAATTTATGCTCGTGGAGTGGAAGTCATTACCTCAGCGCTCCTAATTTGTCATCTGCTCACACTCCTGCTGCACGTCTCCCAGTCATTTTTTTCCGACAAAAGGAGCTTCACAGCTTTTAGGTTATGATCAGAGTACCTAATGTAGAGACTTAATCCACCATTATCACCTCGGAATATCTATTCCTGACGACCTAGAATGCAGGAGACTCCACCAATGGATCAGAGAACAATATGGTCAACTGACAACGTCACTTCTGTAAATTGGGTGTTAACGAAATTCGAAAGCGAAAATATGCATCGATTTCCCTGGGCGATCATGCAGACGGAGTAGCTGCAGACATGCATAAGACTTAAAGCGCGAACAGCACAGTATTTGTCATATTAAGTTTCAGTTGATAACTCATTAGTGGAGAGGATAGTTGGATCATGGCAAACGACGTGGCCCACCATTGGTTCTGCCCGTCTGCTTTTATCTGCCGGACAAAGCGGGTACCGGGGTGTGGCCGCTGCAGAGAACACAACCTCATGCAGCTACAAATGAGGCCTGGATGCCAGTTGGGGGTCGCATAGAGCAAACATCACGTGCATCAAAGCACGCAAAATTACCTGTCACTCCTAAAACGTGTGCTATATAACTGAACAGCAGTTCCTGCACTTTGGCTCCTGAGAGGAACCGTCTGGTATAAATCGTTGCGCATAAACATTACAGTAATAATATAAGGGTAAGTGATATGACATAATGCCTGTCAAAGACAAACGAAGTTCTAGACTTAGAAGTTGTGCTGTCTCTGACAGGAATAACAAAAGACCCAAGAAAGATGGTAGTGCTTTTCGCACAGAAGAGTCAAGAATGATGACGAAAAAACAAAATGAATTTGTTTTTATAAGCGAGGAGCATAAGCCTGGCGGCCACCCACGAGAAGGACAGCTGGCGTTGAGGAGCAAATGTGAGCATAGCGCCTGGGCTCAAGGATGCTGAGATGGTTCTCGCTGAATCGTAAACGGATACGGCTGTCGGCTTTATAAGACATAAACGTGGTTTTAGGCCTTAACCGGGTCAGATACGCATGTGGCATTCGTTGGAAGATGGCTTTTCGCCGTGTCTTGATTGCGCCCTGTCGGCTCTGGGAGAGAGGAAAGAGAGTGAGCATCCAGCAAGGGTCTAGCGCATCTAATCCTAACGGAAAATAACACGTTAACGGAATTTTTAACTACAGTGGGTAGGCTAACTCATGAAACCAGATCAGATCAGATCAGATTTATTAAGGGAAAGGTAGGCGATCGCCTTTGAACTCCCTTTTGGTTACAATAACGTCATAAGAAAGCAATGCGTAAAGCAAGTGTCAAAGAAAATTAGGTAAGTAACTACATACAGAAAGCATTGGTCACTGGTATAAATTTGTCTGTGAATGCCTTCTATGTCAAAATTGTACAATAACCAGTACGGCACTCAATGGACCAAGTAATATCGGAGCAAGCGCATATGCTTCAGTCAGAAGACAGTGAAAATTCAAAAAAGTAATTTTACTTAAACATAGGGAGTAGCATGTTTGTAACGTAAAACTTTGAAACGGGTTGCAAAGAGGAAAATTTGTCAGGTTCTGATGTCGTGGAAGTACATACGCCTGTACTGGTCGATCTTTCTCTTAGATGAGTCCACAGATGAGGACCTGACGACGTCCACAGGAAGGGCATTCCATGCCTTTACCACTCTGTGGCCGCAGAAGGACTTCCTTGCGTCCAGTCTCTCCCCTGTCACACGTAGTTTCAGAGGATGTCCTCTCAAGCTAGTAGTGGTGGCCAGCTCAAAGAAGTCGCCGGATGCGAGGCAGCAATCCTGACTCCGTAGCATTCGAAAAGTTTGAATTAGGTCGCCACGTAGTTGTCTGTAATCCAGGGGAACGAGGTTAAGATTTGACAGTCTAATTTCGTAAGGTAGGTTTTTATGACCTCTGACAAGCTTGGTTGCCCGTCGTTGGACTTTTTCTAGGGTGGTACGATCTTTGACAGACCAGGGTCTCCAGGCTTGAATGGCAAATTCTAACTCTGGGCGCACAAACATCCCGACGACCTTGCGAAAGCACTCTTCGTCGAACTTCGCAAATGCCTGCTTGATGAGATATTAGCTAGAAATTGCGGATTTAGCTGCTTTCAAGCAGTGGAATGATGGTTTTGATGAAGATGTTTTCCACGCACCTAGATCCTTCTGAACTTTTACCAGTGGCAGCGGTGTGTGATTTAGATAGTACATCTGCCGGTGCGCAGAGCTAGCTTTGCCAATCCTCAGAATGTTGCATTTGGTAACATTAAATGGGAGGAGCCAGTGACCCGACCATTTTTCGAGTCGGTCTAAGTTTGCCTGTAGATTTTCTTCCTCATCCTCGTTGCGGATGACGGTCCAAAGCTCTATATCGTCAGCAGACATAGCAATGCCGCAATCCAAACCATGGATGCAGTCATCAATATAGATGAGGTAGAGGATACGGCCAGGAACGGAGACCTGAGGTACTCCGCTCGTAACCGTCACCTCTGCCGAGTGCTGGCCACCAAGACGGACAGTATGAGGACGACCGATCAAAAAGTTTCCAATCCACTTCAAAAGCTTGTCTCTTAAGCCTATGCGGCTGAGCTTGTATGGGAGACGTTGGTGTGGCACGCTGTCAAAGGCCTTCTTGAAGTCTATGTAGGCTACACGCACCACGTTCCCTTCATCAATCGCTCGGGTCCACTGTTCAAGACAGTAGAGTAGATTGGTCAAACAGGAACTTCGTCTGCAGAACCCATGCTGCGCATCGGATAGGAGATGATGTTGCTCTAAAAACCGGATCAGTTCGCGTTTGATAATTCGCTCCATAAATTTGCAGTATATGGAGGTGGGGCTTACCGGTCCGTAGTTGTTTGCAGAAGCGCGACTGTCACTTTTATGTATCGGTGAAACCCACGCAGTCTTCCACTCAGAAGGCAGTCTGCGTGCATCAAGAGAGGTTTGGAGGAGACGCAGAGTTTCTGCTAATTGCATGACTAATTCCTTCAACGACTCTGTCGGTATTTCGTCATGACCAGACGATGTTTCCTCTTTTAGCTTCTGGAATTCTTGTTGAACAATAGCTTTTGTGAGAACCGTTGAGTCAATTTTCGGGAAATCGTCCACATTATAGTGATCAGCGGGTACAGCGACTTCTCTCTTAAAAACCGACTGAAAGAACTTGGACAGATGCTCAGCTTTTTCTTCCTCCTTGTAAAATTCAACGCCATCATCCCTTTTTAACATAAGTATTGGATCCCTGTTGCGAGTACTCTGTCTTATGTAGTTGAAGAAAAGCTTTGGGTTTTCCCCTGCACAGTTTAAAAGGTTACCTTCGAAATCTTGGTGGGCTTTGTAAACAGGACACTTTACCCTATTCCGCTGAGCCTTGTACCTATTCCGTAATTCAATTATCTTATCCTTAAGATATGCTTTCCACTACTTTTGCTTACGGTTTACTTCAATTTCAATTTCAACTTCTTTACTTCAAGCCTTTAGCCATCGGGGCCTGCTGTTGATTTTCTCTTTCGACATAGGGCAGTATCTGGTGATAATTTCATTTAGTACGGCCTTAAGTTCTAACCAGTCCTCAAGAACACACCCGGTGAATGCTGCTTTCCTGTCTCTACGACGCTTGTCGAGACGCATTTGATTGAAGTCACCACGCCATATGTCGCGTCTGATCACGATGCTTTGATCAGGTACAGAGAAGAGAGAATACTCCCACTGTAGGACTATATGGTCGCTTTTTGCGAGAGGGGGTAGACAGTTTACGACATCAACGCTTTCCAGTGCCTTTGTCGATACAAGGTCTAAGCAGTTAGCTAGTTGCCCTTCACGTAGTCTGGTTGGGGATAAGACGTGTTGTATGAGATGCGATCTTTGCGCTGCTTTTAAGAGGCGGCGACCAAAGTTAAATTCTGAGCCTGGGACAGAAGCCAGATTCTAGTTGATATTCGGTACATTAAAGTCGTCCATAATCATGACATTTGGTCGGATCGAAATCGCTTCTAATTTCTCTAGTAGACTACTGTCTGATTGTGGGTCGTTCCTCAGTGGGTGGTAGACCGTCAGGATCTCGAGAGGTTGTGACCCCGGCGTTTTGATGGTGAGCCAAATTGTCTCATTTGTGCGCGCTAACTGTCCCCCTTTTTCTGTCGCAAGAAGACCGTATTTGACATATGTGAACACACTCCCACCTTGACGTCCCAATCTGTCCTTTCTGATCAAGTGATGACCGGATAAAGTGACTTCACGATCGTCTACGCTCGCGGACACCCATTTTTCAATTATCGATATTACATGGGGTAAGGTTTGGTTAACGTAGATCTTAAGCTCATCTAATTTAGATAGCAGACTTTGCGCATTGGAATATAAACATTTTAGTTTTTTTGCCTTTGGTAAGCCGGCTATGACGCCGCCTTTGTCAATTGCCTCAGCTGTAGCGACATACGCACGGGCTGTGTCCATATAAACCGAGACGGTGGCTCGATTATGCAGATGGTGTAGATAACCAAGCTTTGTTCGCCGTTCCTTTGTCAGAGCCTTAGTTCCTGGAGTAATTGTCGGCGTTTTATCCGCTCCGATGGCGTGTAATCCGGCTGAAAAACTCTTTGGTGGGAATATTTTAACCTAAAATATCTTGAGAGGATGAGATTAACATGCTCTTTGCAACTCAGAACAATTTTAAGGGGTCTAGGATGCGGTGGAATAGCGGGTTCAGTAGAGCGCCTTCCGAGTCAAAAGGTTTTAAACACTGAAACTTCTTGGTTGGGTTGAAGCATTATATTTAGAAGACCTCGGAACAAGCCGAGATCAGCTAGTACGCGTCCTTTAGGTGTGTCTGCGCGTGGCTCCTGAAGTCCCTGTATTATTAGGCACTGTTCTCGGAGCGGCCGGTCTTTGTTGCGTGATGTTGGTGATTTCGAAGTTCCTGGCGAACCATTCATGACGATATTCCGGTTGCCATCCACTCTAGGGACCTTTTCTTGAATTAATGGCATCGTGTTTGTGGCAATACTGCTCCTGTCTTTAATGTCAACAGAGAGAATATTATACATGAGCAGCTCGCTAAGAGTGCAACAGGCCAGACGCAGACAGCTGTTTCACGGTCGTTACCGATCATCAGTACGTCATAGGCCTTATGAAGTGAGGTATATAAGCATGTCA